CAAAAGTAAGAATTCTAACGATAATGCATTACATGAAGAAACATCGATTAATTGCTGTAAGTTGAAAATCTCACCACGACCCCTATGCTGAAAAATCACGGCCGGCTATTCACTCTTAATATCTAATTCTGAAGTAATTGGAAAAGCATTATTGCATTGAAATAAGGAAAACAGCAGGGCGTACCTACTGTGAACCTCCTCAGACGATGTTGAAGGGCCAAATTCTCTCTATGCACAGAAGCCTCCCCTATCCATCACATGGTTGCTAGCGACTCATTGGTTTATGGAATTTGCACACCCAGCCAGTGAAGTCATCTTCGTCAGCAACATCAGGTCATTTTGCGTGAACTTTTGAGTCATGTAGACTTTCTTTAACTGTGCTCCATAAACAACGCCCACTCGCGAATGAAGCCGAGAAGACCGATTCAGTGCTGAATGCCTTTTCTCCGACAGCTGATCACACTGAGGACGCCTAAGGAATTTTGCCGTTTTAGTTCGCTTTTGAAGGCCGTTCTCTTCTCTTACCGTTATGTGCTTAGACAATTCACCCCTTAAAAGCTAAAATAACTTAGTTTTCTGTGAAACAGTAATGTGCTTGGACTGAACAGGTGTCGAACGTTATGTACGGCATGCCCTCGACGGGGTCCACTTTGCCGCTTCACGAGTCACTCCAGGATCGCGTGATGCGGTTGCATGACTTTACACATCCTCACATACAATAGGTGGGCTAACTCATGAAATGTCAACCGAAATTCCGAAATGAATTCTCGTTTCGAAAAGATTAATTAAGTAGGGTTGGAAAACTAACCATCATGCAGAACAATTCTATCATAATTCAGTTACCTCAGGATACCGGCTGTAGAACGGACTTCTTTTCGACTACATGCCAAAATTATACGCCATAAAAATGACTATTTAGGTAACAGGCATCTTTCTTATTGATTTTCGATGTCCATAAAATGCAATTACATTTCCTGGAAAACACTGTAAAGATATTCATTCTTTTGTTAATTCGGTAGATAATTACGTCTCGTTTTAGTTTTTGTGCTCCAAGGAAGGGTATAATTCGGTTTTAAAAAAGTTTCTCATTGTGAGGTTTTTCAAGACTGTGAAATGCCCGTCTGTAAAAAGTCTTGTCTCTACATTTAGCAATGTGGCTTCTAAAGGTAACAATATGGATCAAATCTACTGCTAAATTTTCTGAACCCTATACGGTCCCTTTTATTACCTTAGAAAAATGTGTGGTTTTCCACACACGGAAAATATACGGCTTGCAGTTTGGAAACCCTGAATCCAATTGTAACGGTAGAGCGGGTTTGAAACTATTCGGGAATTGGGCAAGTTTTTGAAAACCGAATTATACCCTTCCTTTAGGCATAAAATTGGAAAAAGACGTAATTTTCTACTGAATGAGCAAAAGCATGAATATCTGTATACGTGTTTTCCAGGAAATATAATTGCAATTTTAAGGGCATCGAAAATCAGTGAGAAAAAGGATGCTACTTAAATAGTCATTCTTGCAGAGTACAATTTTGGCATGCAGCCGAAAAGAAGTTCGTTCGACAGCAGATATCCTGAGGTAACTGAATTATAACACAATTATGCTGCGCCATGGTTAGTTTTACAACCCTACTTAATTACTCTTTTCCAAACGAAAACGCATTTCGGAATTACGATTGACATTTCATGATTTAGTCCACTTAGCGTACACTGCAAGCTAGTACCGTGCAAGAAGCTCTATGGGATAGACGGCGTCAAATGGACTTGGCAGTCCAGACTTCTATAGGCAGTACACTGAGAGTTTCCGCTGAACGCAGAGATGCACGAGATGGGTGCCTTTACTTCGCTCTATGAATGTCCCCTAGTTCTCCTCTGTGCCTCTATGCATCCGCGTACATCATGGCGTCGAAATCTCAGTAGCCATCTTTGACCGGCAGAGTAGATCAGATGGCAGTGTTCGGCCTGTGTCTGACCTCACACCCGGCAGTCGTCGAAGTTATCCCCATCCGCAGATCAAAAACTCCTACGGAGTGGGCGACACGTAGTGGTCAAGGACGTGAGATCAACTTAACCACATACAATAATTTTGCTCCGTCTAGTGACAGAAGCCAGGAAGTTGTGAGAACGGGTTTGTTCTGTACACAGGGCAGGTCGCCGTAAGTTGGCTGTATGCTTGTGGCAGAGATAAGAGTTCATTCTGGAGAGCGTCAATTGCGGAGACTTCAGTGTGTTGCTACCACCAAAAAAGTGTTGTTGTCCTTCTTACCTCTGTCCTATCTGTTCCAAATCATGTCCGCAAGGGCGGCGTCTCGTGCGTGCATTTGAAACCAATCAGCGAAGGAGATCGCACTGATTGGCTTAGAGAGCACGTGAGGGTAGTGGCAGATTATCGACCAGGAGTGTGGCGTGGACGGGAGTGCAAATCAAGGGTTAGCGAGCGCAGCCGTTGCGCGTATACAGTAGAACGAGGGGACAGAGAAAAGGCTGCTACAGACATACAGTTCTGTAGGCGCCTCAAGTTAACTCGATTTTTTTTCACACTAAGCAAATGTCGTTACCCTTAGCAAATTCCAGCACCTGCTTAGGATGTTTAGGTGACCCTATTTAGGGGCAACCTTAATTGTCCTCTAGCACGTAGGGGACCAGAAAGCGTCTCGCAATAAACATGTTGTCAGCAGGCTGGCCATGACTTGATGACGTTGAAAACTTTCAACAAACGAAAATCCCCTGCCGATCCCTGTGCTTCCCCACAGGCTGCCAGAGTGACCCTGTCTCGAGGAAGGAGACAAGATCGCGGGGACAGGGGCTTTATTAGCCTGACACTTCGGATTCCTGCTCGAACCCACCATCAGAGACAAAAACAGATACGGGTGATTCATGCACAAGGGGCTACAGTATTTATAGGATGCAGTCGCATGTTACCGCATACCTATGAACATTCACGGCTCCCCGCTCCTTCATCCGGGATCGTCGCACGTGGTGTGATGGCCGACATTCGCGTCGTTAGTTGCTGCAATTTCCTCACGTGCGTTGTGTGTTGGTGTGATGATGGCTCGATCATCTGATCAACCGACCCTGAAGTTGGGGAGAGTGTTCACTTGTGCGCTCCCCGCGTGGCTAACCACTCCGCACAGGCAAAGAGTGACCCTGTGTCATCTGACGTCCGGGAATATTTGGCCACTCTTAGCTCATGCGATGGCAAATCGTTCAGAAATAAGGACGTTTCAAGTCGTACAGGCACTGACCCGCCACACTGCAGGCATTGCAGCTCTAAATGAGGCCCACTTCTCCGAACAGGGCAGTCAAAGTAAATGAACGCCGTTGCACACCCCTGAATTAATGATAGCATCTTGCTGTGGATTCAGTGCAGTCAGATACCACACTGAACGTCATCGCACACGCGGCGTCTGGGTCAGTTCCAGCAAACATGACCACTAGCAGTCCTAGGAAACGCATTGATAATCCCGACGAATACCCCTCCTTCGCAAGTCCTGACACCCAACTGTCATCTGTGGTTCCAAGGAGCTCTACTAAACTCGACGGCCACACCTCGGTAACCGTCATTGACCGGCGGATCAACCTGGATGAGTGGGTCCTCACATTTGCGCACTTTCGGGGCGTACCCAACAACCCGTCGACCATATGCAAATAGGCTATTGACTGATGTCCTCAAGAGAATGGCAACGACGATCTCGATCGTCTGTCCTCCCTGACAGAAGCGACCCACATCATTGTAGCAGCTGTTCAATGGAAAAGTACTGGGAGCAGATGACCTTCCAGCCGACGTCTACAGGTACGACGGTCACAACCCATGGGCAAGTTCATTTCGCCCATTCATGAGATGTAGCGACAAGGACAGATACCATAAAACTGTAAAAAAATGTTACTTTCGCGCGCATCTACATGCATAAGAGCAACCGTCAACTCTGTGGTAACTGAAAAGGCATCCTTCTCGTCAACATCCCTGTCGTGTTCTACTTGATCGCCTGCATCCTTAGCGACGATGTCTTCCAAGAACACAGTACGGATTTCAAAAGCCTCACAGAGAACCGTGGACATGATTATCGCGACATACCACAGGCCAGGAAAGGAGGGAATACCTGTACACCAGTTTCTGGATTTTCGGAAGACTTTCAATACAGTGGATCGCTATAAATTGGAAAACCTTGCAAAATTTGGATTTCCTCAGTGACTCACCCAAGTAAAAGGGCAACTTAAAGACCGGATGGTATTGCTTATCACATGCAATCGAGCAGTCCACGACGCATTCGCGGTGCCTAGTGTGGCGAACCTGAACTGCGCGTACTTTCTCACCTCAGTTCGCTTCATGGTCTTAATCAGCCTGATGGACACCTACCGTGAGTATTCGCTGACGATCGACATCACACTGGGACCGGCGAACCGGGGTCAGAGGGTGGGAGTGTGGAAAAGCAGTGAATTGTGTACTATAGGAAAAATGACGTGCTTGAACCCATCACGGCAGTCTAAGAGTCACAGACTGGAAGGCTGCCAATTGTAAGGACAACTCCGCACTCACGGGAGTATTTTGAAGTGCCTAGAGGCCTTACGGGTCAGCCTGTAATGTCTCCCTCTTAGTGTGGGCGCTATGCTACTCTTACTGATTTTGGATCTTACCCGCCCTTACAGGAAACTACATGCAATCAGAGTGGAAGCAGGTTCTGGATGGCGCGCGTAGACCTGTTGAGAGCGCTAAGGACAGAACTGTCAATCCCAGACTATGGATATCAGGATAAGACCAGAGTTATGAAAGAATTAACAATCAAAAGTCAAACGATCTGACAATCCAACAGATGCCGAGCCCGTCGCGTTGTGTTGTGTTCCTTCCATTCAGTTAAACAACCAATAAGTTCAAGAATGAGGAACACGTAGGGAAAGGCAAGATAGTCTGGCGCCTCGGCCCAGTACCCCCCCCCCTCCGAGACCGGAGGGCGGCGAAACCGACATCGAAGGATGTGTACAAGTCTAAAATAAATGAGTGCTCAACTGATCAGGCAAGAGTAAATGACGACCACTTCGAGCGATATATACAGGGTCCGTAGAAGAGTAAATACATCTGGTAGCTGTAGTGTTGGTGTTAGTGGTGGCAGTCGGTGGTAGCGGACAGAAGGGCAGAGGGAAAATACGGGACGGTGGTATAGAGGCTGCAGGTGGGAATCGGAAGGTGGAGGACCACAGGGCTCATCCGGAGGAGTGTCCGGGACGGCAGCCGTGAGGCGGTCCACATTCAAGACCTCCTCACGATTATCACGTTGAATGCGGAAAGTCTTCGTCCCGCGAGAGAACACCCGAAATGGGCCGTCATAGGGCAGTTCCAGAGGCCGGCGGACTCGATCACATCGAAGGTAGATGTGAGAACACGTTGCCAAGTCCTTCTCGAGATAAGACGGAGAAGCGGAGGACCTGGACAGAACCTGAGAAAGTGCCCGCATAAACTGCCGGAGACGATACAGGAAGTTGGTGGGATACTCAACTGCACCTCGCGGGGTTGGCGAGACCATCACACGGGCGAGTCGGCCGGTGTCGCCGAACACCAGTTCAACTGCGGAACAGTCAAGGTCCGCCTTGAGAGCGGAGCGGATGCCCAAGAGGACCAGGGGAAGGTGGTCCGTCCAGTTATCTGGATTGGCCGCGACGCGTAAGGAGGCCTTCAGTTGGCGGTGAAACCGCTCGACCATCCCGTTAGCAACCGGACGATAGGCTGTCGTCTGGGTGCGGATACAGCCTAAAAAGGAGAGTAAGCACTGGAAGAGGTTAGACTCAAAATGAGCACCACGGTCAGTCGTGATTGTGGAGGGTGCACGAAAGATAGCAACCCAACGACTGATAAAAGCCTTGACCACCGTTGGAGCGACAATGTCAGGCAGAGGAATTGCTTCAGACTATTGAGTGAATCGATCCCCGCAGGTGAAGAGATAGGAACAATCATTGGACAGAGGCAGGAGGCCTACAATGTTCAGGTGAAGGTGGCCGAACCTTGCACCAGGGCCAGGGAAAGTGCCAATGGGGGCCTTGTTGTGCCGCTGGATCTTACTCCGTTGACAGGCGATACAAACTCGTGTCCATGCTTTGAGTTCCTTGTGCATCCCAGGTCAGACGAAGCCATCGGGAATCAGCTTGTCGGTTGCTCGACTCCCAGGGTGAGAGAGATTGTGCAGCGAGGAGAAAACTTTGCGGCCGAGGGATGGTGGCACAAATGGATGATGGAAAGGGGTGGATACGTCGCACAAAATGATGCCGTTGCCAGTTGTCAATGGTAGTTCCCGAAGATGGAGTCCGGAAACATCCTTATCACAGGGTGAACCGACACGGCGTTGTTCAGCGGCCATCTCGGTGAGGTCGATCCCGGGTGAAAGCTGAAAGTGAGCGATAGAGAGCCTGGACAATGCGTCAGCCACCTCATTCCGTGACCCGTCAATATGGCGGATGTCAGAAGTGAACTGCGAAGTGTAGTCTAGTTGGCGGATATCCCGGGGGTTTAGTTTGTCAGAATGGGAATGCATAACAAAAGTGAGTGCCTTATGATCTGCGAAAATTGTGAAGTCTCGACCTTCGAGTAAATGCCGGAAGTTCCTTATGGCAAGATAAGCGACGAGAAGTTCGCGTCCAAATGTGCTGTAGCAGGTTTCGGCCTTGGATAGTTTCCTGGAGAAGAAAGCCAAAGGCACGGTAGAATCTGGCGGACTTTTTTAAAGAATCGCGCCAACAGCAATATTGAAGGCATCGACCATCAGAGACATGGGTTCATCAGCATGAAAGTGAGTCAGGAGGGTGGCATCAACCAGAAGGGCTTTTACCTGCTCAACTGACGTGAGTGCTGCTGGTGTGAGTTCGAAGGTGTGCTTAGAAGCTGAGAGGAGACAGGTCAGAGGTAGGATGGTATCGGCACAGTTAGGGAGAAACCGACGATAAAAGTTCACCATACCAAGGAACCGTTGCAACTGACGCTTCGGGATAGGAAGTGGAAAGTCCTGAATGGCGGCAACCTTTGAGGGAAAAGACCGAATGCTGTTTGAGTTATTTAGATGACCTAAGAACTCAAGAAAAGTGGCTCCTAGGACATATTTGGTAGGATGCAGGGTTACACCAAACTGCTGAAATCTGTTGTCCGACTCATTCCGTCTTTCCTGACTTTTGATTGGAAATTTTTGTCTTGTCGACTACACTACTTTCGACAGACGCACTGTCTCTGCTAAACGCCGCGGTCGCGTTTACTCATCCAAGCCATCTTAGAACTAACTCGCATCTGAGCAAGGTGGATGGGGGAAGGACTAGTGCGGTAGATACTGCGCGTGTCCACCTCACAACAAACTAATTCACTCATCAATTGCGGTGCTGGGCCACTCAGCGGGGCACGCGGTGAGTGTCAGAGCTTGTGACGCTGAAAATTATTATTTTTCAAGCCGTGTCAGAAAGACAGATAAAATGGTAGTGCGTAAATTATTTGCAGTCAGCAGTTAGGCCAGTTTTCAAAATGATATTTCTTATATAGCCAGATGCAAGTGTTTCGTGTTCTCATCTCTTCAGTTGCCATAAGTGACTGTTAGACGAGCTGTATGTTGTTTTGCTCTCACAATGTTGGAGAGTCCCCAGATAAAACTTTCTGGAGTCGTACAAATGTCAATAGCCCATGAGACGACGGGCATGTTGGGGGCACGTAGGGAATTAGACGGGGGTGAACTGAAGCGATTTATGAATATAGCTCTTTTGTCAACGTTTCCACTATTGCCTGAAAATTATTAAAATAACAATGACCAATAGGCGTGTTATCTGTGAAACAACAATGCTTGAAATTGTCTAAACATTGGCATGCTTTACTTGGCCTCTTCCCCGCAAAAATATAGTGGCCTGATGAGAATTTAGCAAAATCAGACATATTCTCGCCAAATTGTCTTCTGAAAGGAAATGTCGTCGACAGTACTCAAAACTTTCGAAATCTAATCGTTCATTGGTTGATGGACCAATATTTTCTCCCTATTCCCGATAACCAATCAGTGGACAATCATATTAGGTGTTAAGCAAAGTTCTGAAGTAAGTTTTTCAGCTAGATAAAATCACTGAAGTGGGGATGTAAGACTGATACTCCTATGGTTAACTCCAATGCTATTTCAATCACACCGAAATGTCTGCTTTTGGATGAGCTCCCGTCCACCCGCCTGCAAAAAACCAGACTCGATTAAAAGGATTTTTTTAAACAGCATGACTTTTTCTATTGCCATTTGATGTTTTTATGGATTCAAATTTACTTTGTAGAAAACATGGCCAAAATAAAACTTTCTGTACTTTGCGGAAGCACATCACATCTCCTTCAAATTCTATTTTCGCAGTAATGTTTTGTTTTGGCTTTGAACATTTGTGGTTGGGATATTTATGTGACCGCAGAATATGTTTCTCGGTAACCGCATGCCTAGTTGTCTACTAAGAAGTTTTCTAAAACGGAAAAGATATTCTTTCTTCGAGTATGAAATCAAATAAAGACATATTCATATGTTAAATGAGTATAAGACAGAACATTTGGCCTATGCTATCGGTGTACATTTGAATTTATAAGAACATCGAAAAAACAGTGGAAAAATTGTATCAAATATGTAGTCATTTTGTACTTTGTGTGGTTTTGTAGGCGGTCATAAGAAACTCATTTAAAAGTCGACACTCTGGTCTGGCTGAATTTCTTCGGGATTATTCATATAACAGTCTTACCCAGGTAATCCTCTGGAGTCGAAAACGTATTTAAGTATTTCGGCAGCATTTGCTGCAGTCTTCAGGTTTTTTGCTCAAATAACTAGTATCTCTCGGCTTCAACAAATTTTTCATTCTTGATTTATTTTAAACCCACTCTCCTATTGCATTTGCCTTTGGGGTTTTTGAACCATATGGTAAAAATCGCACATTTGTTTGCGCAATTAAAGAGATGTCATATAGAGTTTAGAAATTGTTGTAAAGAGTGTGGACCACTGATAAAGAGACGTTTCGTGAGGTATGTCAAAAGAAGCTCAGAGTTCACTGAATTGCTGCTCTATATAAAACATAAGACACAATACTCGCGTTCACAGAATAAATCAACTCATTGTAAGCATTGATTACGACTTTGCTATATGCCTTGTTCATGAGCGAGCACGTTCGTTGTTGAACAAGTGTTCAAAGTAAGTGCTTAGACGGTCACTGTAATATATTAGCTAGTAATGTCTAAGACGGCTTAGTAGGTAGCATCTATTTTCGGTGGACAAAACCACGATTACTTTATTTTCATTGACGCACAGTAAAGGGTAAATAAAGGCCTCAGACTCCGTCTGTTTGGATCGATTCTTCTAAGCGTCTCCCCGCGCAGTATAGAAAACAGACAGATACAGGTGCAGGCTGCTCGCGCTTGACCGTCTGGGCTCATCCAATCTAGCATGCTCAAGAAGTGTTCAATACACACCTGTGCTTAGAGTTCAGCTAGCAAAAAGGCTTCACATAACTGCTTCAGTTTCCACCTTCTCAGGTCAGGTTTCTGTCCCTATAATTAACAAACCAGCTTTGGTGACGTGTTTTTAAAGCAGCTTAACAGCAGATTTGCATAAGGCAGTAATAACTGCAAATGTATTTTTCATTGAAATAGCTATTTATATAATATTTTTTGAAAAAAGACAAGTTACGTCATTGGCCTGAAAGAAGTCCACCTCTTGTGCAGGCAATTACCTCAAAGAGTAGACTAAGTCAGTCTCCCATCTCGATGCTTCTTGCTTTTCACTGAAGTTTCAACTTATGGAACACAGAATAATCTCTACTTTTTATAACTTAGTCAAAATATGGTGGACGTGGAAACTTATATCATGGATCTGGCTATCGCCTGTCTAGTTCTTGGATGTTTTGCATTCGGGTGCTTGTGGTCTTATATACAAGAAAAAGGGTAAGCAAGTAAATGGATCCATTCACAATAGTGTCTTTTTTAAGTTTCGCCATAAGTATAATCTAAGATGGTTTTGTTCATTTTTAGGGAGGATGACTCCACCACGTCTTCTTCTTCTTCTTCCCACAGTGTAAACCTTCCATCCGACATCTAGTGACGTATTGTGTTTTGTATGCCACCTCATGATGTATTGGGCAATCTGCCTTCAAAACAGATGCTGCCAAACCGCACAAACCAAACTGTTTCTAAATACAACCGGAGTCTGTTAGGCATCTTTTTTTCTAAAATTTAATAAAACATGCTTTTCGGGTACATATGGATCGTCAATGCAGTAAGAAATCGAGGACAAATCGCACTGTCCTGAAATGCCAGAAATAAACCAACTTATAGGTACTTTTTAGATCTCTTGCATCTAAACTATTGAAACAGGACTGATTATCCGGAAAAAATAGAAGTAAAACAGTCTAAGTATTGCTTATGTAATCTTTTCGCATCGATATCATACCTTAGAAATTTGGTTAATACTTCACGTGATAGCACATCAATTCATTACCAAATACATTGAGGGACAGATCTCATCAGATGTTGGCCGAAATTCTGAAATGGATTTTTCGCTTTTGCGATTTTCAGGACCGTGCGATGTCCACAGATACAGTATCGCACATGCCCGTTTACTAATGCTCTTCCTAAAATGCGCAACATAGGTCGTATCCATTTCAACATTTTGTGAACTGAAAATGGTGTCTTTCTAAAGGCAAAGAGGAATATATTATTGACTCTAAGCAG